TTCCATCTTTCTGCTCACATTGTCCATTTTTTCTTTCATATTGTCTGATTTATCCAGTAGAGCTCTTAGCATATTAATTGTAATTATTTCTAATTATTTCAATATTCCTTCTACGTCTGGTTCTGATGTTTACTTTCTGTCTTCAAAATGAATTTTTTGCCCTTATGTGTGTCTCGTAATTTTTTTATGATAGCTGTACATTATGTATTGGGAAAAGAAGCTGCTGTAAATAAGCTTTTAGTAATGTGGTGGCAAGGTGTTGGGGGGAGGGATGTGTTATACAGTCCTATGATTAGGTCTCAGTCGTTTAGTAAGTCTCTGCCTCTGACCTGTGAATTCACAAGTGTTTCTCAGTTTTTTTCTCTTCCCTTAGGTGGGACAGGATAGCTAGAGTGGGATGGAGCTGGATATTTACCTTCTCCCATGTGGAAGGCTAGAGCTGGCTGGGGTTAGATTCCTTCCCCAGGTCAGTTAGATGCTGATAAAACCTTACCGGGTTAGGCTTTGGTTAACTAGTTTCTACTGAGGGCAGACCTTGTAAAGAAGTACAGAGTGCTCTGGGGTATATCAGAATGGTTTGTTTCCCCTCCCCCTATTGAAAGCATGGGGGCATTTTTTCTCTGATATTTACTGTGAGAACCAGGTCTAGCTCCTGGAGGTGAAACTGTCATCAAAAGCATGTGGACCCCATATGACTGGTTCTCCTGGAGTTTCAGCTCTCAGACTTGCCCACACCTAGTCTCCAACAGTTCATCAGTTATAGTTCAGGTTTTTGTAGCTTGGCACTGGTTTCTGCAGAGGTTTTTGCTCTGATATATTGTGATTCTCTGTATATCTTCATCTGTCCCTTCAGTTTTGGAGGTATCAGTTTGCCCTCTGGCCTTACGGATCTGACCTGCTCTTACAGATCTAAGAACTGTTTGATTTCTCAGTTTGTGTTCAGCTTTTTACTACTTGTTAGGATGGAGTGTTGACTTCCAAGATTCTTACATATGAAACTGGAAACTGAAAGTCCCCCATATCATTGTTTTTAATCTTTTATTCTTTTATTTATTATAATATTTAGAGATAAATATTTCTCTCCAGGCATTGATTTATTTCCAGCCCACAAGTTTTGATATGTTGTGTTATTATTAAACATATTTAAAAAATTCCCATGTGATTAATTTTTTGAACCATGAGATATTGAGAAGTTTGTTGCGTAATTTCCACATACTTGAAGATTTTCCCCCAATATATTTTTGCTACTGGTTTTTAATTTAACTTTCTTAGTATCAGAGAGCATACTCCATATGGTCTCAGTTCTTTTAAATTTATTGAGATTTGTTTTATTACCCAGCATATGGCCTGTCTTTGGAAATGTTCAATACATTCCTAAATATTATGTGTATTTTTCAGTTTTTGGATAGAGTGTTTTATGAATGTTAGTTAGGTCAAATTGGTTGATAGTATTGTTCAAGACTTTTTTATCCTGACTTATTTTCTGCCTACTTGTTCCATCAGTTACTGAGAGAAAAGTATTGAAATGTCCAAATATTATGTGGTTTTGTCTGTTTCTCACTTTTGTTGTGTCAGGTTTTGTTTCATTATTTTAAAGCTCTATTATTTTTTTTTTTGGTCACAAACAAGTCTTAATACATTTAAAAAGACTAAGATCATAGAAAATATGTTATTTGACTACAATAACAGAAGGAAGTTTAGAAAATTCACAAATGTGTGAAAATTAAACAACATTCTCCTAAGTAAACAGTAGGTATAAAAGAAAATCACAGGGAAATCAGAAAATACTTTGAGATAAAAGTCAAAGTGCAGTTTATCAAACCTTATAGGATGCAGGGCTCATGCAGTGCATACAGGAAAATTTGTACTTTAAACACCTATATTAAAAATAAGAAAAACCTCAAATCAGTGATGTAAACTTCTACCGTAAGAAAATAGAAAAAGTAGAGCAAACTAAACCAAAAGCAAAGATAAGTAGGAAATTACAAAGATTATAACAGAAATACATGAAATAGGGAATTAAAAAACAATGGAGAAAATCAACAAAAACAAAAGTTGATTCTTTAAAAAGATCAACAAAATTTGCAAACTTTTATCTAGACTGACCAAGAAAAAAAGAGAGAAGACTAAAATTACTAAAATCAGAAATAAATTAGAGGTCTTACTAAATTGTCCTTATGGTTTTTTCTGGTAGTGACATTTAGTTTCTTTCTCTTCCCTATTTGCATTTTTGTTCTACCAGTGGGTTTTGGTCTTTCTTGCATATTCGTGGTAGTGATTATCATTTTTTGGATTCCAGATGCAGGACTTCCTTGAGGATTTCTTGTAGGGCTGATTGTGTGGTGAACTCCCGCAGTTTTTGTTTATCTGGAAAATACACTATTTTTCCCTCATTTGTGAGGGATAGCCTTGCTGGATATGGTATTGTTGGCTGGCAGTTCTTTTCTTTTAGTGTTTTGAATATATCATTCCATCTTCTGGCCTGTAGAGATTTCTGTTGAGAAGTCTGCTGTTAGTCTGATAGGGGCTCCCTTATAGATGACTTGACGTTTTTCTCTTGCTGCTTTTAAGATTCTCTCTTTGTCTTTGAGCTTTACCATCTTGACTGTAATGTTTCTTGGAGAGGTTCTTTTTGGGTTGAATCTGTGTGGGCATCTTTGAGCCTCCTGGATCTGAAGGTCTATGTCTCTCCCTGTACCTGGGAAGTTTTCTGTTATTATTTCATTGAATAGGTTTTCCATGTGTTTTCCTTTCTCCTCCCCTTCTGGAACACCCATGATACGAATGTTTGTGTGCTTACTTAAGGTTGTCTGGTAGCTGTCTTAGATTTTCTTCATTTTTTTCAATTTCTTTTTCCTTTTTTTGGTCCTCCTATGTAATTTTGAAAAGACTATCTTCAAGATCAGAAATTCTTTCTTCTGCTTGTTCTAGCCTACTGCTTAAGCTCTCAGTTGTGTTTTTTATTCAGTTGAATGAATATTTCAGTTCCATGAGTTCTGCTACATTCTTTTTAAAAGTATTAATCTCTTTGTAAATCTCTTCCTTCATCTCTTGGATTTTTTCTTTTAGTTATGTCATCTTAAGCCTTCTCATATCTCAGTGAGTTTCCTTAAGATTGTTGCTCGGAATTCCTATTTAGTAATTTCAAGAGTTTCCTGCTGTGTAGGGTCTGGTATTTGAGAATTACTGTATTCTTTTGGGGGTGTCATATTTCTAGTGTCTCTGTGTTGATGTCTGGTCATCTGGAGGAACTGTTGCTTCTTCTGTTACTGTGGAGTGGGCTTTGAATAGAGATACATCCTCTTCTTTTTCTGGTCTCTCCTGGTGACTCCCCTCATGTCAATACAGTCAAGTGTCTGTTGGGCCGCTTACACGGTGGCTGTGGCCACTGCTGTGGCATTGAGCTGCTTTTTCAGCAACTGTGGCAGTGGCTCTGGTTGGTCACCCACATGGAAAGTGGTGTTTTTGGCATGCTCTCTAGTCTGCTTCCAGGTAGAGGGGGCTGCCCTTGGCTCCTGCCTAGGACCCTTGGCATGCTCTCCTGCCTACTTCCGAAAGCTCCATTGTTAGGTGAGTACACATTTAGAATTGTTGTGTCTTCTTGATGACTTGACCTTCATGAAATACAACTCTTTATTGCTTGGAATACTCCCTGTCCTGAAGCCCATCTTGCTCCACATTAATATAGCCACATTTTCATCAGATAGCTTGTCTATCCTTTAACTTTTATCTGTCTCTTTAAATCTAATAAGTGTTTTTTGTAAGCAGCATATAGTTGAGTGTAGGCTTTTTCATCCAGATTGATGATCTCGTCTTTTAATTGGAATATTTAACTTGTTTTTCTTTAATTAGTGATGTGGTTGGGTTTAAGTCTGCCATCTTTCCTATTTGTTTTATTAGTTCTTTGTTTCAAATATCATACTCTTTCATCATCTGATTTACAGTTTTGTTTTTTTAAGAAGTGGATTAATAAATTCAAGACATTTGAGAAACAATTTGAGTTCATAATTCTTTTAGATTTAAATGATTCTTTTCTTCAGTTTTTCATAGTTCTTACCCACTTGTAATTCATTAGCAATTTCTATTAAAATTTTGCTTTTATGGAGTCTTAGCAAAGTTTAATACTTTGTTATGTGTTTTGTGATAAAAATAGTTTAACACAGTTTTCAAAGATTCAAAAAGTTTTTTATTTTCCTACTTCTATTTCTTAGATTTATGTAATTTTTTTGAGTAATTGTTATAACCAGTACAGTGGATATAAACAGATTTAGGAAAAAACATAACTGATTCTTCATGATCATCCTGCTCAGCAGATGGGAGCAGAAAGGCATGTGCATACCTGAGTGTAGCCTACTATTAATAAGCATTCAGTATACTCTGGTTCTCTCTATTTTACTAAAGCATTGATGAGAATATGAGGACTGTAGACCATGTTGTTTAAATATTAAGTAAAAATTCTGTATTTAACTGTGTAATGGTGGTAGTATAATTGGAATAAAATTGCCAGGTCATTATCTGTATTATTGCTCCATACATTATTTCGGATAATCATGTGTACATATATTTGAGATACTACTCAGAATCAGGAAGTTTAATGTACCTAGGGTAAGGAAATGATGTTTTTGACTTCTTTGTAATGCAAAATAACATAAGACTTCATCAAAAAACAAATTGTCATTGATAATCATTTGGAGTCTGGTTTTTATTGGGAACCTTTCATTCATTTTTTAAAAATCTAAGTTCTTAGAGTTACAATATGTGAAATTTTATTTCTATTTGGCTTTTTGTTAGGATGAAATGTAAGAGTCTCTAATCTGTGTGAAGGCAGAGAACTGGAACAGATTTTCTTTTTCAGATTTTAACTCAGGGAAATCAGTGTTTGTTATCCTGTGGTCTGACATCTTTAAAATTTTGTTTAATTATACTTAAAAAAATAGTTAAAATAATAACAGAAATACAGTTTTCTGTTTGGATCTTACTAGGATGTGTTTGTTCTTTAGCAAGAGAAAGCTGCTGCCATGGATTTGACTGCACATTTGGAAAGCGCTCTGAAGACTCCTATAGGCAACAGAATGAAAAACCTGGCAACTAAGGTGGAAATATTGAAAGAAATTAGGTGGGTAAAAACATATTTTTGAGAAGAATAATTGCTAATTAGTTGATGCTTCATTTAAATTGTATGCTCACTCTTTTTGCCTTGAGATTTAATCTTTGTATTTTTATGACTTTAAAGAGAGAAACTAAAAATAATTATTCCTGAGATGAATTTTATAGTGTTTTCTGTTGTCACTACTTGGAGCTATCGTGCCTAAGGTGATCTGTGAGAGTCAAATTAAAAAAGAAATCAAGACAGCTTCTTAATGGTAGTTTGATGGGAAACTACTATGTTCAACTATTTTGCTTGGGATTATTTTCAGGAGTATACTGAAACCAAAGATTTCAGGAATCAAAATTATTTCATTACATTGTCTAAAGAAAGAATGAATAATTTGCAAAGTGATCTATATAGAATCAGAAAAAAAGAAGAAATTAGCACGTCTTGTGCAGAGTTTATTCAGTATTTCTGAAAGCCTATACAAGAATTATGTAGGTATTTTATCTCAATGGAAGGTTGCTTTATTCTTGGTTAGGGATTGTCACCCTTTTCTGGAGTATGGATAAAATGTTCTCAAAACAGTCTTAGCTCCCTTTTCATACTGCACACTGGACTTAAACCAGTAATTCATTTTCTTCTGTCCTTTGAAACACTAAGATGTTGTTCTGAATGAATACTGCATGTTTGTCTTTTTTCCAGTGGAAATTTAAATTCTCCAATATAATGGGCATGTGGTTTCTAAGTCTTTTAAGAGTTTGAATAATTTGGTCCCTCTAGAACCTAATCAACTTTTGATGCATTTCCAAAAATCAAGTGCTGCACTGGCAAAGTCGTGAGCTGGACTTTGGATCAAAATGACCCAATATGTTTTAATCCATATTTGAGGAAATAATGTGCTGTTAAAGTGATGGCAGTCTACTTGGAAGCTAGAAAAATAATATGGATGGACCTTGTTAGTTTTGCTTATTGTTCTGTCTGTCTGATTGCCTTTTTTTTTTATTGCTTTTTAAAACTCAGTAAATGCTATTCTGTTTGTTATGGTACAAGGACTGCATGCTTATAGTCTTGATGAACAAGATTGGCGATGTTTTAAAGAAGTATTTACAAATCTAATTGTAGAACAGAAACTGAAGGTCCATTTGATATTTTAAATTCTGCAGGCTTTTGAACTTCTTTTTATATAAAGTTAAAAAAAACCTATTTTTTTCCCACGAATATGTTTTCTAATTAAAAGTATGTATCAGTTATATGATTTTATATAAATTAGTTTTAAAAGTGCCTCTTCATAGCTAGTGCTATAAATAGTAACGTTTATACCATTACTGTTTAAATGTAACTTTTTCTCACACCATCTTTCTCATTTCTTGATCTTTTCCTTTTTGCTATTTTTTAAAAGGCATGTCAGCGTCAGTGTTCGTTATGGAAGTGACCTTTCCAATGCTATACAAGTGTTGGATGAAGGGTGCTTTACTACCCCAGCTTCTTTGAATGAATTAGAGATAATTTGGGCAGAGTATAGTCTAACTCAAGAGAAGATTCATGCTTGTCAAAATGTGGTGAGTTGAGAATTTTTCTCTATTACAGCGTTTATCTGTTGAACATAAGGAAATGTCTTTAGAGAAAGCAGAGGGGACTGCAGAGATTGTAATGCTACTTATTTACATAAAATCTTTAACTTTTACAATTCTTAGATAATAATTTGATTCCTTTATTGCCTTGTAAGAAAGGTCGAATAGATAATTGGTAATTGTGGATAAAGGGTTAGCAAAATATTTTCCCTGTTTGCATGAGAATTTGACCTTTGTTAACTCCCTTTCTCAAGTCCCTTGGTAATCTGATAAAATATTTCAACCATGTTAATGGGCAGCATCATTTATTGTAAATATAACTCCTGATTGGTAAGTTGCATCTGGACTGGGGGATCTATAAACTACAAATACTTGAAGGGACTCTTGCAACTGGGCATATGCCTGGAGGTACCCTAGAAACTATGTGAATGAAGTTGTTTTAAGAGATATTGGCTTTTGAGGGGCATGAGGCTTGTAAAGCATGGCAGCTTTCATACCTCCTAATGTGGATCTTATCTTCTGGCTGGTATGTTTTATGCTGCAGAGTCAGACTCTGCCTTACTATTAAAAAATGTCTAAGCCACCTATTGTTGAGAGGTAGTTGTTTTGTGTATGTAGGGGGGATATGAAGAATGAAATACTTCATATGAATACTTTATTATCTTAGGTACAAGTATATTTATTTCCTGTTGCAGTTTAGTTTATTATATTGAGCTGAAGAGACCTCCTTATTTTCCTTGTAAAGATATTCTCCACAACCATCCTGGCTTTCCATAGCAGCTGTGAGTTCCATACTTGTTGTGTTTGGATTTGTCCCATCTTAAGTATTGGTGGTTTCTGCCTCTGTGGATAATACCCTGAAAGTCTTCTTATTCCTACCTACTTTAACCAGTTGGCAGCCTGATGGCTCTGAATGAGGAGCATGAGCAGGATAACTAGGTTTTTGGAAATGCCAGTAATGTTTAATTTGGAGAAGGGATTGGATTTGGGTTATTTTATGTATTAGATCTTAGTCACTCTGATAATGGAAGAAAAAAAGTGACAGCAGAATTAATAATTTTTGAATCTCTATGAAACACAGGCAATGTTACAGGAACTTTATAAACTTTTTCTTACACTAATTTTTAAAATGGTTATGTTTGCTTCCATTTTATAAGTGAGGAAAGAGACTCATAAGGATTAAGGAAATTGTTCAAGATTACATAGTCCTGTTAGTCCTGTTAGCATGGAATTTGAACCCAGGCATGTTTAACTGAAGGGATATTCTCTTTTCATTTAAACCACACTGTCAATATTAAAATACTTCTTAATGTATTTTCATGTAATAAAATGAAAAGATGAAAAAGAGTTGCTTTTTTTGGTTTTGTTTTGTTTTTGTGATTTGAGCATATGAAAGTGATTCAGGACAAAGAGCAAGAGGGCTTAATATAGTTTTAGGTCTTTGTATTATCGTAGTACAAATGTGACTTTTTTTTAAAAAGCAAATATTTGTTTCTACCACTGTGGATGTTTCAGGACTTTAAGTTCATTTGATGGAATGAAGCGTAGATTATTGGATAAATACACAGTCATAATTAGTTTCCATCTAATTTCTCTTATTGTACTTAATTTGGGTCTTAGAATTGTTACTTTCATTTATGAATTTTGCATAGTTCCTTAACTTGATAGCCATGTGCGCTATTTTTTTTTTAAATGAAAGAAATGAGCTTAGCTTGAGATTCTTTTCTATTTATTTATATTTGTAAAATAGTCTGGTTGAGCTTATGCAAGAAAGAATATCCTAAAGTTCAAGCTTTTAAGTATATGTGTCAGATACTGTTGTAGGTAACGGAGATATCAATTTTTTTTTTTTTTTTTGGTGACCAGTAAGGGGATCTCAACCCTTGGCTTGGTGTCGCCTTCACCGCGCTCAGCCAGTGAGCGCACTGGCCATCCCTATATAGCATCCGAACCCGCGGCGGGAGCGCCACTGCGCTCCTAGCCCCGCACTCTCCCGAGTGAGCCACGGGGTCGGCCCAGAGATATCAATTTTTTAAAAAGACATGATCCTATCTATCTCTCTTGGGTATGGGATGGATATATTAATAGATAATTTCAATACAGTACAGTAAGTACTGTAATAGAGATAATGTATTGAATACCTCTCACATACATATTTCAAACATAGCCTCTTGGGTGAATTGGAGGCTTTATCCTGATGGAGTTTAACTGAATCTTGAAGTAGAGTAAATAATGGAGTTAAGGGTGGGATGAGACTAGAAGGGCGTCAGTGTGTAAATAATAATAGGAACTTGCATTATTTTTCTCAAAGAAAAACAAAAATTTCATTGTTGCAGAAATATTGGGGGGAAAAGAGCAAGATTGTTGAACTTAAATTTTTATTTTTAATTAAAGGAAAGTAAGTAAGTTCTTTGGTATTTTGGTGATCTAAGGAAAGAAGTGTTTATCTCAAGTGCTACTGTGTTTGGAGAATGTAATGTTAAATTTTAGGAATGACTTTTTAAAATATAGGTTAATATGTAAAAAACAACTGATGTATTAGTGATGGTCATTCTTTCTTCCTTCCTCCAGAGTGAAGGGAATATTTTGATTGCCGAAAGGAATGAGATGCAACAGAAGCTGTACATGGCAATAGAAGTTTTTATTGTGGAAGTAGATGAGTTACCTCTTGATAAACGCTTAAAAATGTTGCAGGTTAGAATTTTAAAAATAATAAATTTACTTTAAATTAAGTTTATCATTTGAGAGGTGAAATTAGCATTTACCTTGAGACTTCAGATACTACTGATGGCTGCAAAAGTTTTTCTTCTTTGGTGAATTCTAATTTCTTTTTAATGGAATTAAAAGCTTATATTAATGTATTTAGTTTTTATGTATGTTTGTATATCTGTCCTGCAAATAAGATAAAATGTCCTGACACTCCAGGCTTCATAGAGCACCATTCATTGGTGTCTTAGTCTGTTTTCTCTTACTGTAACAGAATACCTGAGACTGGATAATTTATAAAGAAAAGAAATTTATTATTACAGTTCTGGAAACTGGGAAGTCTAAGGTTGAGGGGCTGCATCTGGTTGGCCCTCAGCAGAAGCCATGGTGGAAGGTATCACAGGGTGAGAGGGGTGCACTGAGAGCCAAACTGGCTTTTTAACAGACCCACTCTCATGATAACTATCTCACTCCCATGATAGCTATCTCACTCCCATGATAGCCCATTAATCCATTAACCCATGAATGGATTAGTCCTCATGAACCAGTCACCTCTTGAATGTCCCTTCTGTTAAAACTGTTACATTGGGAATTAACCTTCAACATGAGTTTTGGAGGGGACAAGCATTCAAACCATAACAATTGGAGAAATTCTTGGAGACAGGAGCAGTAGAAGGCAGGTGGGTCCCTGTTACTCATTGCATTCTAGCAGAAAATCTACTAGGGCCACATATCGGAGTTAGGAAGGAGAGACCATGATCCTTGAGGTATAGGGTTTTTGAGCTTCATGATCATTCGCATTTCTCCCCTGGTGTGATCAGGGGCTAGAACACAATAGCTATATGATGTAGTGGAACTTTGTCTTCCTCCTTATCCTGCCAGATCAGCAACTTAATATTTAATTTAATTTAATTTAATTTAACAGCATGACAGTGTTGTCATTTTGTTACCAAACTCAAGTCTGACTGCCTGCCCCAAACGAAAAAACCCTGGGCTTGGCTCATCAAAATCTTTTACCTCAGGGCATTCAACTCCTGACTTGGCTTGCCAAAATTCGTTACTGAACCCAAGTCCAGCTGCCTTCCCCAAACAAAAACAAACAACCTAAAAGTCAAATGTTGGTGGAATAGGAAGTCAGCTTTTATTCAGGAATCCTGGTGACCTGAGGAGAGATAATATTAGGCTAACCCATCTCTCCGGTAAACCTGAAGGAGAATGGCCAGACTAAAACCATCTCAAAGACTCAGATTTACTGAGGAATTTTAAAAAGGGGATTAAGGGGGTTGAAGGAATGAACTGTGGGAAGTGAAAAGCAGGAGGGCAGGGGACATGTAAGAGTGCAGGTGCAAATTCTTGCCAAGGCTCCGTCTGGCTTCTCTTCTCATCCTTGATGTTATTGTAGGGTCCTGCAGGATTTTGCTTCAGGGTGGATTCAGCATAGCTTTATTGATGTCTTCGCTGGTTTCTCAGGGTTTGGATACTGCATGTCTTGTGGCAAGTTTGTAGCTCGAGGCTGACTAGAAAACTACTTTACATTTATATAATAATGTCATCTTGCCCCATAACCAAGGTTCAAAATATCAAGTAATCATAGGAAAAGAGGGAACTCAGAGAAATGCATGCTAAGAAAAAAAAAACAACAACTGTTTTTTAAAAATTTTCCTACAGCCCATGTGGTTTTAGGTCCCAATATGGCTTAAGTCCTGCTCATTCCAACAATTCTACCTAGTAAAATAATATTTCGCACCACTTATTCAGATCTTTTTTTGTCCTTTAATATTGTTTAAAATTTTTCTCTGAAGGCCCTCATGCATTTTTAACTTAACTTGTAGATATTTATACTTTTGATTGCTTTTGTGGATGTTATCTTTCCATTTTTTAGTTAGTTTTAATGGAATAGAGGAATACTCTTGGTTTTTACATATTGATGTCCCTCTGCCAACTCTGCTGAACTCTCTTTTAGTTCTCATTTGTCTCTTAATACTCTGAGCTTTCTTTGTGGTCATATCATTTGAAAACAATAACCCTTTTGTCTCTTCCCTTTTAATCTTTCTACCTTTTATGTATATTTGAATTTTTACTGATTTGGTTAGTATCTCTAGTACTAAGTTGAACATAATGGTGTCTGTCTTGTTTTGGGCTGCAGGGAATCAGCTTGCTAGAAATTTGGAGAAGAGTATATACGGGGGTATCAGGGCACTAACTCTTCCTGTCACGCTGGTTGAAGATGTAGTTTTGATGATAGTGAATGTGGTTTGGGAACCATTAGAACCTTGGTTTAAAATATTTTCTTAAATGGAATTGCATAAATAGTATACGTTTGTCCAGCATAGTGAAGTAAGCCTTTCATATAAAAGGGCAGTTGTATAGTAAGAATTTATCTTTCTGCAATGCAGCTTCTACTTCACCCTGTAAAGGTTTATTTCTTCTCACTGTTAGTAAACATAGGTTGAGAGTCTGTAACCAAAGATCATCTATAAAGCTTTTTTTTTTTTTTTTGTCTTTTGTCTTTTTCCGTGTCCGGCAACGGATCGCAACCCTCAGTGTTGCCCCCGTACCGGACCGGAGACCGGCAACGGGATCGCAACCCTCGGCGTTGCTCCCGCGCCTCGCTCAGCCAGTGAGCGGGAACCGGTCTGTATGTGGGATCCGAACCCTCGGGCGGGAGTGCCGCCGCGCTTCCCAAGCGGCGCACTATCCAGTGCGCCACCGGGCCGGCCCCATCTATAAAGCTTTTTTTAAAGTTTAATATTAAAAGAATTTTTCCCCAATCTGACTTGTTTCCATTTCTAGTATTTCTGTAGGTAACCAGAATAGAATATTCTTTAAATTTCTTTTTATTTTGCTGAGGAATAGTTTGTTATTTGTTTTTTAATCACTTGAATATAACATATTTCTGTAATGAGGATCAAAGAAATTAAAGTTTATGATTTCTGATTTCCTCAGCATCTATTGAGACTTCTTTTGTGGCATAGGATACATGGTTGATTTTTCATGACTGTTTAGGTTCAAAAAGAAAGTGTATTCTAGGTTTTCTAGGTGTGCCATTCCAGACACACGTAATCTCAAGCATTAATCTTCATAATTCTTGCTTAGTTTTTGGTCTGATTAGTGTATCAGTCTTCTTTTAGATATTTTTGTTATGTATATCTGAGATATATCTGTTTCTCCATATGATTCCTTCAGTTGTTCAGAATATTTCAGTGCTATATTGTTGGGCATTAATGTATTTATGATTGTAATGTACTTTAAAGTGTAGTTTCTTTTTAACCACAGTGTAACCTTATTTTTTTCACTTACCGTGTTTTGGGATAAAATTTCATTTTGTTTCCTTTTACAATTCCTATCCCACCTTTCTTTTTGGTTAATATTTGCTCTATATATCTTTTCTTTTTTCATTCCTTTATTTTGACATTTTTTTATATCCAGTTTTTAAAATGTCTCTATAAGATAATCCACTTAATGGATCAAGTTTTAAAAGAATCCAACCTATATATCTGTCTTTTGATTGGTAACTTAATTGATTTATATATTTATAAGTGCTGTTTTATAAGAACTTATTTCTGTGATCTTATTGTTTGTTTATCGTGTTTTTCCCCCTCCTTTTCTGCCTTCCACCACTAATACTTTAGAACATTCTTACCTGTCTTTACTGTCTTTCCTCTCTGTCTCTACCTTCCTCTCCAAAGCAAGCAAGCAAGAAACCATACACAATTCTTTTCTAGGATTTTAGTCACACATTCTTATAGATATTGTGTGTAATAGCTAAATGAAATGAACTTGAGAGTTATTTTCTTGTTTCATAAGTTGTTTGATATCTCTTGGCTTTCTCTATGTATTGTTTTCTCTAAGACTGCTTTCAAAGAGGTCTTTGTGTAGTTGACTCTGAGAGGTATTAAATGTTTCAGGATATCTTATTTCAATTTCATATAAACAATTTTTTAGCTGGCTATAAAATATTAAGTACAAAGGCTGATTTTCTTTGGGCATTTGACAATAACAATTCATTGACTTCTTATTTCCATAATTGTTGATACCAGTCTAGTTTTATTCTTCTGTGATCTTTTTTCCCTCTGGAAACTTTAAAATTTTCTTTTGACTTTTTCTTTAATTGCACTAAAACATGTTTAAGTTTAGATTTAATTCGAGCCAGTGCAGCCTGAGGGTTTCTATCTTTCTTTAATTCTAGGAAATATTTTATAATTATTTCTTAAGATACTGTCTCCCCACACCCCATTTAATTTTTCTCTCATTCTGGGACTTCTGTTAGATGGATATTTAAACCTTTACTTCTCTCTGTATTTTAACTATTAGTCTATCTTTTTCTATCTTTATGTGTCTTTTTGGAGGTATCTTTGACTTAATCTAGCTTAGTAGTTGGTTCTAGCTATATCCCTTCTGCCATTTAGACAGTCCATTGTGTTCTTTATTTCAAAGGTTTTTTCTTTCGTACCTAATATCTTCAATTGCTTATTATTTATAAGTACTTGGTTTTGCTTTGTGTTTCCAATATTTATTTTTGTTAAAAATATTTGTTATGCTCATTTTGAGTTCTTATTGTTTCCTAGGCCACTCACTGATTTTGCTTCCTTTTTAGTTTGTTATACTTATTTTGAAATGCTTGTATTATTCACACATTTCATCCTCCCTCTTATCTGTTCTCAAGGTTTCATATTTCCTTGAAACTATAAGCTACTTTAATTGTGTGTTGTGTAAGTTTGGGGTAGCGTGGTGGAGGAGGGTCCTGGGGAGAGGTGAAAGCCTGGACCACAACTTCGAATGGGTTTAGATAATAGGATGGGATTGTTTTTCAGGGTACAGAGCTTCTAATATTGCGGTTGAGGCTCAATTACTTCGTTTGCTTCTCTCCTAGATAATCTTACTCTTCAGCGAACCTCCCACTCCCCCTGCCTCAGCCACTGCTCTTTTGCAGGGGCTACCACCCTTGGATGTGAATGTTATCAGATATTTAGGGGAAAAAGGAAGGAAAGAGAATGCTTAGGGCCTGGCCAACTCTTCTGTACTGGTTATCAGTTTTTGCCTCATCTCTTTCCTTGTGCTGTACTCATCTAAACCCATTGGCTCTTTCTGGTGCTGCTGCTTTCCTGCCCAGTGCTAGGGAGAGAGAAGGGCATAGAAAATAGTTTTCTTTTCCCACATATTCTGTGTTGTGGTACAGGCCTTCTCTCACTGCAGGGACTGTATTCATTCATTGCTAATCACCAACCATCTTCTGCCTTTCCAAGAGTTTCTCAGAGTTTTGTGATAAAAATTTCTGGGATCTGTTAAGTTTTCCTCTTGTCTCTGTAGCATTTCTGGGGTTTGATTCATGGAGAGAATCAAAGGGCTATACTGGCTGCCCATCTTGTCTCATCCAGTCTTTTTTTTTTTTCCTTTTTTTGTCTTTTTTCGTGACCGGCAACGGGATTGCAACCCTCGGTGTCGCGCCCGCACCGCGCTCAACCAGTGAGCGGACCAGTCTCTATATGGGATCCGAACCCTCGACGGGAGCACCACCACTCTCCAAAGCGCCGCACTCTACCGAGTGCACCACCGGGCTGGCCCTCATCCAGTCTTTTAAAAAATGTTTTTAAGTACATTTATATGTTTAATGTTAACTTAATTGGAATTATTTGTATATTTTGGTGTGTAGTTTATTTTTATTTAGCAAGAAGTCTTAGAGACTTCTGTTTCCTGATTTAGATGGTTTTTCAGATTTCATTTTATTTAAAGTCAAGGAAAAGAGGGTAATTTCTACTTAATAAATCTAATGTATTAGTCTGTTTCTGTTGCTTATGACAAAATATCTGAAATAGGGTAATTTATAAAGAAACAATAATTATTTCTTACAGTTTTGGAGGCTGGAAAGTCCAAAGCCCAGGAAACAAATCTGGTGAGAGCTTTGTTGGTGGTGACAGTGACGCAGGGGTCTCACATGGCAGAATGGTGGAGCAGAGAGAGAGCTCCTTGTGTCTTGTCCTTTTAGAGCCCTCAGAACCATGCCCGAGACCACCATTAAACCATCAAATGCATTAATCCAGTCATTGTGACATGGTCTTCACAATCTAATCACCTCTTCAAGGCCCCACCTTTCAATTATTGTAATAGGATTTCCCACCCTCAACAGTACAGTGGGGATTAAGCTTCAGTGTCTTTGGGGGACCGTTCAGTCCACTGCACCTGAGAATATAAAGCTTTCTATTAACTAATGCACTTAATAAACTTTTACTGTTATAGTCCAAATAAATCACCTTCTAGGTAGTTTTGTGTTTTCGTCTCTAATGATTCTGAGTTTTATTTATAAAATCCTCAAGAGTGGGGATACTACTTTGGTGTCTCTTGGATCTTAAAATAGTGCTTGAATCCTAGTATGCAGTTAATAAACTTTAATGAACAGAAGTATATCTCTCTGCAGGATTTGTCAACCTCTTTAGAAACTGTGTATGGACAGCCCAAAGAAGGAACAAACTCTGAAGGAATACTTAGAAAATTTTATGACTGGAAGTGTGGTAAAAATGAGGAGTTCACCAAAGTTAGAAGTGAAACGGAGGCTTCTCTACGGTGTCTTGTAGCATGGTTCCAGAACACCTTAAAGGTAATAAGAGCTCTTGCACAGTGGTGTTTGTAGCCTAAACCAGGTTTATATATATATATATTTTATTATATACATAAAAAAATATATATTTTAATCATATCTGACATTGTCTACCTACCTATCAGATTTAAACTTGCCACCTGGGCAGTTGAGATTCTTTATCAACTTTTAGACTGTTCCTTTTACTATTCTCAAAAAACATCATCTTGGTCTTATCCCTGTTTTTTTCTCATACTTTTCCTCTGGATTGTCCTCTAACCTCTCGTAAACACTAATATTCTTTAGGTATGCTGTGTACATGTACCTTTTTTCTTCTGGTGCATAATGTTTATGAGGGTAAGTATCTTTATCTTTATCTGTATAAAACTTTATTTTTTTCTGTATTCGTATTTCCCCTGCATTGCCCAGGTGTAGCCGAATGCTTTGCTCCGGTTATAAAGGCACAATGAATGCTAATTTAATTAATTAAATGAGATACTTCATGTTTTTATTTTTGCAAATGAGGTTTTTGATTTATGTGTGGAAGAACCACTGACTTCTGAAGACACAATTGGTAATATTGATGAAATTCTGGAGAAGACTGAGTCAAGTGTCTGCAAAGAGATGGAGATATCTATGATTGTGCGTATTGATATTCTCTATTATTGCCTTTTTTGAAGCAGTGTGGTTTCTCTTGCTACTTAGAAAGTATTAACCACTAATATGGTCTTATTCTTCAATAGGGTGGTGTTTTTATGTTAATAGGACATTTCATGTTAAAAAAATAAAATCTGATGTTTAATTCTAGGAAAACTCCTTGTATTAGTTCATTTCTGTCACTTATAACAGAATATCTGAAACTGGGTAATTTATAAGGAAATAAAATTTATTCCTTACAGTTTGAGAGGCTGGGAAGTCCAATATCCAGGGAACACATCTGGCGAGGGTCTTCTTGTTCTTGGTGATGACTCTGTACACATGGCGAAATGGCTGAGCAAGAGAGAGAGTTAACCTGCTCACTTGCTTTCCTTATAAAACCATGAGAACCATGCCCATTACTCATGGATCAATCTATTTGCAAAGATACAATCCTCACAATCTAATCACCTCTTAAAGGCCCCACTTTTCAATTATGATAATAGGATTTCTCACCCTCTTTACTGTCACAGTGGGGATTAAGTTTCTAATATATGAACCTTTGGGGGACACAATTTGACCCATAGCACCCCTGAATGACTCAGCTTTCTACGTTATTTGATTCTTAAGTTCCTAAGTTTATCATACCCAATGACTATAAGAAAAGACTCCATAGAGTTAGTGAAAACTTAAATAAAATCTGGGAGAGCTCTGAAAGTGGACAATGAGTTATTCATGCTGCTTTACAAAGTCTCAGTGGTTATGCTTTTCATTTTACTTGTTTCTTTTTTACTTTTTTGCAGTTTTACTATTCATATTGGCAATAAAAATACATTGCAAATTTCTCTGTTTCCCTAGTGTCAAAAAGACCTGATTTAGATAGTTTGTCAGACTTGATTTTAGAGGTGGTTGTTAATAGATGATATAAAAAATAACAAAGTGTTAATGTTCTATAAATTGTTTAGATCTTATATTTAGCCTATTAATATCCCTGATTTCCTTTAACATTCTACTCCACATAGCTTCAGGAATAATAGTAGTGTAATAGGGGTAAAACTTCCCATATGAACATCTCTGATATTGCTTCTCTTTTGTCTAGAAAAATAGTTATGTTTAAGAAATACTTTGAAATGGATATAGAAATTTGTCAAAGGCATTTTTTGGAAGTTTATCCTTTGTTATTGAAGGTTTTAACTATTTCAGATACTACTTTGTGTATAAATTTATGTGTATGATTTCATTTAGGAGCAAGGTGATGCCGACAAGGAGATCATATTAAATACATACAGTCATGTACTTCAGAAGATCCGTTCAGAGGAAGGACTCATTGCCATGGTACAATCCAAGTACAAGGCCAGTACTGAGGTTGGATTTTGATGCTTTACATTTTTTGATACTTAAATTTTTCTAAAGTAGTTTAATACCCAACATGTAGATAAATTATTTATTATTGCTAGAAAGACAGTAAGGCATTTTTAGCTGGCATATAATTGAATTCGCTGTGAAGTGGAAATGGTGATTTTTATTTATAAATATGTTGAACTTTTTATTGTCTTAAACCTTTAAGTTTCTTACATCCTTGAAAACATTATCTTCATTTGCTTTCTGTTTATAAAGTTTACTGTAGAAAATTTGCTATATACAGAAAGACAAGAAGAAGAAATAAAAACATTGCTTTATAATCCTCTTGGCCTAAGAGGTACTCATTGCTAGTTTCAGTGGGTTTTTTTTGGATGGTAACACATAAACGTGTGTGTGTGTGTTTGTGTGTGTGTGTGTGTGTGTATGTGTATACATAAATAAATACAATGTGCATTGCATTTTCTTGTAAGCTATTTTGAAAATGTTTTCTTCATTTAATGGTATATTATAAATATTTCCCCATATGATTAATGATACTTCTATACTGTCATTTTGAGTGACTCAATCATTATCCATTGTGTAGATACGTGACAAGATAATCTAACCTTTCATCTATTTTGGACATAAGGTTACTTACAAATTTTTCTACCATAAATGACACTGTACATAATCTTTGTACATATTTTTTTGTATATTTTATTAGATTGATTCCTGGAAGTGTAATTACTAAGTTAAAAGGAATGAACATTATTAAGCTTGATACATATTGTCAAACCACTTTTGGGAAAGATGATTTCAAGTTATATTTCTACATTCTAGAAATTTCAGTTTTCGTCCACGCTAACAATGTGTGTATTACTGTCTGTCTCAGCTTGAAATATTACATTTGTCTTTGCTACTTTGTGTGCTGGAATGGATATTTTTCTAGTTAGAAATGTGGATAATTAGGATATCGATTGGGAGAATTGTTGTTGAAAATTATAGAATTTCTCAGTATTTCAGTCTGAACTTGATAAATACTAGTTGGATCTTGTTAGAGAAATAATAAATGGTCAGTAAGTGACTGTCCAGTAAATATTGTTGTCTGATGTATTTGAAAATACAGTAACTCTTTCTTTCAGTTTAAAAAGCAGATTACTGAATGTTTAAATAAGAGCCTCAATGTGGATCCCTTGCTGTCCATTAAGAAGACACTGAAAGTCTTAAAAGCTCAGCTGAGATGGAAATTGGTTGAAAAGCATAATTTGGAAGAAGTAAGGACACAGTTGCTTCTTACAGAACTCTATGTATTCCTCATTTTACTTGAGCTCTGCTTCATAAAAGTAATGTATAAATACAGTCTTTAAGAGAGCCATTATGTTCACATTTTGTTTTTTTTTTGTATTTTTAAAAATTGAAACATAATTGATTTACATATTTGTGGGTACAGAGTTGAATATCAATACCTGTGTACGTGTGATGACTAAATAAGGATTATTAACATATTCATCATTGCAAAATGTAGTCATTCTTCTGTCCATTAACCAATCTCTCACTAACACCCCTTCCCTTCCCCCTTTCCACATCTAGTAACCGCAGTTCTGTCCTCTTCTTCTGAAAGTTCAACGTATTATTGTGATTGTTGTTTGTCTGTCTTCTTTTTCTCTCCTTTTTATTTATTTTTTAGTTCCCACTGATGAGTGAGGACATGCGATATTTCTCTTTCTGTGCCTGGCTTATTTCACTTAACATAATTTTCCCCAAGCTCATCCATGCTGCTGCTAATGGCAGGATTCCATTATTTTTATGGCTGAGTAGTATTCCATTGTGTATGTATACCACATGTTCCTTATCCAGTCATCTGTCAGTGGACATTTAGGTTGGTTCCATATCTTGGCTATTGTAAATAGAGCTGCGTTGGAATGAAAGTATCCCTGTGACGTGATAATTTCTGTTCCTTTGGGTAAATACCCAGTAGTGGGATTGCTGGATCCTATGGTAGTTCTCTCTGTAGTTGTTTGAGAAACCTTCATACTGTTTTCCATAATGGCTGTACTAATTTACAGTCCCACAACAGAGTATAAGGGTTTCTCTTTCTCCACATCCTTGCCAGCATTTTTTGTTCTTTGTCTTTTTGACAATAGCCAGTCTAATTGAGGTGAAATGATATTTCATAGTGGTTTTGATTTGTATTTCTCTGATGTTTAGTGATGTTGAACATTTTTTCATGTACCTGTTGGCCATTTATATATCTTCTTTTGAGAAATGTCTGTTCAGCTCCTTTGCCCATTTTTAATCAGATTATTTGGTTTTTATTGTTAAGTTGTTTTAGTTCCTTGTATATTCTAGATATTAATCCCTTGTCAGGTGTACAGTTGGCAGATATTTTCTACCATTCTGTAGGTTGTCTTTTCATTCTGCTTATTGTTTCTTTTGGTGAACAGAAGCTTTGTAGTTTGATATAATCCCATTTGTTTCTTTTTTTTCCTGTGCTTTTGGGGTCTTATTCATAAAATATTTGCCCAGTCCTGAATCCTGAAATGTTTTCCCAATGTTTTCTTCTAGGAGTTTTACAATTTCAGGTCTTATAGTTATATCTTTAATCTATTTTGAGTTGATTTTGGTATATGGCAAGAGATATGGGTCTAGTTTCATTCTTCTACACATGGATATCCAGTTTTCCCAACACCACATATTGAAGAGGTTGTCCTTTCCCCAGTGTATGTTTTTGGTGCCTTTGTCAAAGATCAGTTGGCTGTAAATATGTGGATTGATTTCTAGGTCTTCACTTGTGTTCCATTGGTCCATGTGTATGCTTTTATGCTAGTACCATGGTGTCTTGGTTACTATAGCTTTATAGTATAACTTAAAGTCAGGTAGTGCAATGCCTCTGGCTTTATTTTGTTTGCTCAGCATTGCTTTGGCTATTTGGGGTATTTTCCTTTTCCATATGATGTTAGGATTGTTTTTTCCGTTTTTTTTTTGTCTTTTTTCCGTGTCCGGCAACGGATCGCAACCCTCAGTGTTGCCCCCGTACCGGACCGGGGACCGGCAACGGGATCGCAAGCCTCGGCGTTGCTCCCGCGCCTCGCTCAGCCAGTGAGCGGGAGCCGGTCTGTACGTGGGATCCGAACCCTCGGACGGGAGCGCTGCCGCGCTTCCCAAGCGGCGCACTATCCAGTGCGCCACCGGGTGGCCCCGTTTTTTCCGTTTCTGCGAAGAATGTCATCGGTATTTTGATGGGGATTGCTTTGAATCTGTAGATTGCTTTGGGTAGTATGGACAGTTTTTGCAATGTTAATTCTTCTAATCAAGAGCATAGAATGTCTTTCCCTCTTTTTGTGTCCTCTCTAATTTCTTTCAGCAGTGTTTTTTTTTTTTCTTTTTTTTTTTTTTTTTTTTTTTTTTTTTTTTTTTTTTTTTT